GACAACATCAACAAATACAGCATACGACAGAACAACCAAAATTTCAACTACCGATGAAATCCCCGATAAAAATATCCAAAATCAGCTTCTGCAACCCACAGACAACTACAAATTAAGAAAAGGCAAAAGTCTCATAATTCATCGCAGACATGAAAAGCGACTCCGGAACACTCCCCGACAGATTCACGAATTATGGAAAAGTGCTTTTCAAGGAACCGAAGTTATCGATACTGCTCTTACTGTCGGAAATTATCTGAATCAGAATTTGAAACAAGAATTGTGCACAAGAATGATCAAACATATTCTACGTACAAGAAACAATCAAGAGAGCAAAACGCACCGTCAGACGGATGAACAAACAGCGAATATTCAATCCAATCAAACAAGTCAATAACTTAGTATATTTCACATTCTGTGTTCTTATTAAAAATTAAAAATAAACATCTCTCCATTGAAAGAAAATATGAAAAGTAATGCTAGATCGTAAAAAATCTACGTTCACAATAAGACATACGCTATAATCGCGACATTAGCTGCATCCTTAACCACACAGTCAAAAATGTACACATGAAAAAATAACGAAAACTATTTTCTTCAAAACGATCCCATCAATCACAGCGCCGAATAAACCATCATCAAGTCGATATAGAAAGTAAACACAGCATCTCGATGTGATGCAAATACTTAAAAAGAAAACGACTCTAAACACAACTTCACAAACGACGCCACGAGTAATAGCAACTATGGGCAGCTTCTCCATTCCCACACATCTTCAATGCGTATACAATTCCAAAAGCCAAATAAATATCAACTACTAATTAAGTAACTTCGTCATCTTTCACCTTTAAATCATGAAATTTTCCAATTTGCAATGTAGATTGAGTAATTTATTGACGATTTTCGAATTATTCGAACAACTACTACAAAAAAACCAACCCTAAAAATACTTAAGCAAAATCGAAACGCTTCGTAGTATGCTCTATAAAACATACCATTCCTGAACGATATCCACTGTTCTTTTGAATTTTTTAAAATTTTCTTCAGCAGTTCTTGCAAGATATATAGACAGCGTAACTTATTTCTGATTTTCAAACCGTCCCAATAATAGTAAAGATATAACCTACCTGATGAGTCCCTTAAGCAAGGCCGAAACGCGTCGTAGTATGCTTCAAAACACACCCTTTGCATAACGATACCTGCTGCTGTCTTGAATTTTCTTAATATCTCTTGACATATTCTCGATAGACATGCAGGGCAAGTAATTTATTTTTGATTTTAGAATCATTCGAATAGTTACAAAAGGCAGAACTACCTGATGAGATCCTTAAGCAAGATCAAAACGCGTCGTAGTATGGTTCAAAACACACCCAAACCCACACCCTTGATTTCTCTTTTCGTTAAAAGATAAGTCAACCTGTTCCTAACTCTGGATTTCCACATATGGGCAGAGATTAACAATTGTCACTGATCCTATTGTTACGACGCTCTCGAAGCTCCCGAAGCTGCCCAACCCACTGAGATATATTTTGTTCCAATCGATCTAGCATTCGCTGAACTTCACCAAAAGCATTTCGATAAGCCTGCTTGTTACCCTTTTCGTGATCTAACCAGTATTCGCGTGCATCCCTATCCACATAGATTTCATTCTGGCTCATCATCGTACAGACATGTTGAAGCATCGTTTTATATGGAGAACCTATATTTTTTGTTGTAATAAGATGTTTCATGTGGTTGACAGCTAGTCCACAAAGAAGACTAAAGAAAACTCGATAAATTGGAGCATTGCGGTCAACGTATGTCGCATCTGGAATGTGAGCTGTCGTATTTACGATAAAGTCCATACCATTCTTACTAAACAAGTTGGTGCCTTTACGAGCCTGAACTATAAGATGGTTTTCGTTCAGTGTTTGGATTTCTTCTCTCACGTCAGGCATATCTGACTCAATAAATTTGTCAATAATCTTACATTGAACTTGAACAATACTACTATTTATTACATGCTGACCTTGTCCAATATGTTGGCCGCCTGGTTGAAGGTGTTCAACTTCTTGCTTGAGTGTTTTATATAATGCATCAATGTTTTTGCATTGATCACCCGTTGCTTTTAAAATCAAATCCACGTCACCATTATGGTTTATGTTGCTAGCCATACTTTGAATAATAAATCAAATCTGTTAAACAATTTCGTGAGAAATAAGTTTCTAAAAATTCACAATATTTATCAGATGAAAACGAAGGAGTAAGCGACACTTAAGTGTACCAGGATCCGTACTTCAGTATCGCTCAAAGATCTCATCAGATGGTTTAATATAGCTGTCGCTTACTGTGTAGGGTAGGATTGAATCTTATTCAGTAAATCAGTATAGATAATTATACATTGTTTAGGTTTTCTGCTTTCAAATTAGAATTCATTTGAATCAGTATAGCAGAGTTAAAATTGTCTGATGAATACCATTTAACAAGGTCGACATCTGGATCATCATATGTTATTATACGCACTCTAATGTTTGACACTTTATTGATTTCTCAATTTTTTGCTATTGTTTTATATATGTACAAAAGCATAGTTTGTTAGACTATTTAGGTATTTTCTCTCGATTCTGACATAGTTCCTCTTACTATTGAAATAACATTCATGCCTCTCTTTTTCTCACTATGTATAATCACGACTGGCATCAGCTAACAAATATTTTTGGGATGTCATGGCATCCAGCACGTAAGACCACATATGTTCTGTACAAACTTCACTCTGTTGAAGTAGAAACTCTCTAATACCGTCCGACTTTGATTGGCCATAAATGTGTATGCCAAAATTAAGATTCCTTCCTGTACACTCTAAAAATAGTTAAGCGCCATCCAAAACTCTTGAAAGAGGTCCCATAAGTTCCAAATAACATCCAAATTTCTTGAACTGCCGAAAAAAGACTTCAATTTTACGGGACCTTTACAGAATCTGAAGTTGGGCACATCACCAAAACGCTGTTCTGAGAAAACTTTTTTAAAGCTTGATAGTGCAAAATCTTTGCAGTTCTTTAAGCAATCTTGCTGGTTTCGCAGGAAAACTTTTAATTTTCTAGAAGTTTTATATAAAACTGCAAAGACTTTGCAGCTTTTGCTACGCAACCATTTTTGTGTACCACCGAACTTTAAAAAGATATTTTTCCAACAACGCTTTGATGGTGTGCCCAACTTCAAATCCCTTAAAGGTTCCATAAAAGTGAAGAGTCTTTTTTCGACAGTTCCAGTCATTTGGAAGCTATTTGGAACCGATGCAATCTATTTAAATGATTCTGCAAGTCACTCATTTTTGTAGTGTGATAGCTCTATTTTAATACTGGTGAATTGTATGATCATGCTATTAGTTCAAAAACTGAATTGGCAGAACACTCATTATTCTCAAATTGATCTGGTTGAAAAGTTTGACAAATATTGGATCCTAATATGGGATGAAGCCATCTGATCAGATCTTAGAGTAGGATCGAGACGCAATCTTGGGTGTGGATGTGGTTGTGAGTGTGGGTGCGTGTGTGTGTGGTGCGTGTATCGTTGTGGGTGTGAGTGAGTGTCTGCTCTTATCACGCACATAACCACACACACAGAGGCCCACACTCACGTACACACACACCCCACACCCAACACGCACGCAGCATTTTTTAGTTTTTTGACTATTATTTCGCCGGTTTCGATCGAACCCAATGAGCTTCAATCAAAACTAATAACATATTTGCAATCACCATCAAAAACTGAGCAGACATATGTTTTTCAGAGTTTTCTGCCGGTATTCCCTCGACTGTAAGGAGGGTCATACGAAAAAAAATGCGTTTGTTTGCTTGCGTGATTGCGCGAGGTCAAAAAAAATTCTTCTTCGTGCCCAGCGCAAAAACCATTTCCCAATTTTCATGGGAATCAATGCACAACCCATGTCCCATACTATCAATAACCAACAGAATCAGGGGGGGGGGGGGGGGGGGGGGGGGGGGGGGGGGGGGGGGGGGGGGGGGGGGGGGGGGGGGGGGGGGGGGGGGNACCAATCAGATTTCGAGAATAGAAAAACACCTAATTTAGAGCTTAAAGTGCTCAAAAGGTATGATGGCCAGGTAGGGGGGTAATGAGACTCGACCAATCCCTGTCGACATGTTGACTTCATCGACCAATCAGATTTCGAGGATAGGAAAACACCTAATTTTAACCTTAGCATGACCAAAACGTGTGATGGTCAGCTGAGGGAGGGTCCATGGTCGACCAATAAGCTGTGACAGTGGTAACCATCTCAACCAATCAGATTTCGAGATTAGGAGAACACTGAATTTCGACCTTACAGAGGCCCAAACCTTTAACAGTCAGATAGGGAGGAGATGTCGACCAATTAGTTATCATCACGGGAGCGATTTTAACTGATGAGATTTCGAGGATAGAAAATTTCGTAATTCGGAGTGAAGGCTTGAATAGTAAAATTATGTGTTGCTATCATGTCTAACAAGGGAAACTGGGTATCAGAATTCTAGCAATTATAGATTTGATCGTGTATAGCAGCTGGTAGCCGCGAGTGGCGCCTCGTAGGAGCGCCGACGAGGGACTAACTGTTGCGCTCGACTGACAGTGTTACTCCAGTGAGAAGATGCGTTCGTTAGAATACTGAACAAATGATACACTGGTATTAAAATGCTAGTGGAAAACTCGATATATTGCATCTGTGTGAATATAACGTTAAGCAGATATTAGCTCGTCGCTTCCTTTAAAATAAGTTGCAAACAATCTGTGGCGCAGGCATCCATCTTCAGTCGAGGGTTAAGCGAGTCTCAAAGACGAGCGTTACTTATTTTTTTCCTCCTAAATTTTATTCTTACTCTCCCTCAGCGCTCAGTCAAAAAGTGAACTAAATGAAATCGTCATTTTTATGAATCCATAATCTGTCCTCACGAGTTACACCAGGATTTTGGAAGGTTTCAACTTGATTTCTACTGTCTAAATCGCTTTTTGTTCGAATTCATTTTTTGACTGAGCCCTGTGGGGGAGTACGGGTAAATTTTTGGAGAAACAAAATACCAGTGGGAAACCCTGAAAAACATATAAATCCGCTCAGGTTTTGATGCTGATTGCAAATATGTTATTAGTTTTGATTGAAGCTCATTGGGTTCGATCAAAATCGGCGAAATAATAGTAAAAAAACTAAGAAATGCTGCGTCAGTAATAGTGTATTGAACATTTTTCAATTGTCCAGCCTAATGGACTCGATATATTGGTGTCATCTTAAAGCCGTAGTCTACGTCTATCTATGATAAAAAAATCATCAACAGGTATTTTGATTTTTTCCGGATATTGTCAAAGAAATTATCACTAATACTGGTGTTTGCCTATATTTGGATCATTGATGCAAAGATTGCTGGAATGGTCAGCATAATGACCTTGATATATTCAGTCCATTTTGTAGACCTAATGTACCTCTATCTATGACAAAAAAGCTTTTAGCGCAGCCCTGTTAGGGCTAAAATGTGGAACTCACATAATCTCTACAATTTCATGATAATAACATCGATACAATATACGCAAAATAAAACAACTGTATCAAAGCATAGTTGTTTTCGAATACAGTCGATTGTTAGCGTCAGAAACTGCCATCTACTGACGCTAAACGTTTATCACTATATTATCTATTTTAATCTCTAATTTGATTTGTTGCGTAATCTATACTATCAATGATCTCGTGATCATGTTTTCGTTATTACGCAGTTCTTGATATCAACTTGTGTGAATTACTCGAAATAAAATGTTGTTCATTATTCGACGACAAAGTCGTCTATTAAAATATGTTCAGCTCTCTATTTTTGGCAGACTAAATATTAGTTCTACCATTTCTACATAATCCCGAAAACGAGAGCTAACATCGATCGAAGTGAAAATAATCTATTTTAGCTCTCGTTGTATTTTAATAATTCTTTTTGTCTTTGGTAGGCACCCTTGATCTCTGTTGCCATGCGCGTGGTATTTTTTCCCATTCAATACGTATTCTTTTTATTTTTTAATTGTATTGCTGGTAATAGTCATTGTGTTTTTATGTAAGTGTAGAGGTGGGTAATTAATGAGGGGGTAATAGGGAGGGTAATTAGTGAGGGGGCAATAGGGTGGGTGATTAGTGAGGGAGCAATAGGGAGGATAATTAGTGAGGGGGCAATAGGGAGGGTAATTGGTGAGGGGGCAATAGGAAGGGTAATTGGTGAGGGGGCAATAGGAAGGGTAATTGGTGAGGGGGGCTCCGGAGAGGGTAATCTCGGGCCGGGGGATGTCTGTAATGGAGGGGGTGGGGAGCTAAAAAAACTCAATATAAAACTTACACTCACTATTTTCTTCGAAAATATATGGGAGTTCCACAAAACCACGGAATGGCATCTTTCGTCTCTCAAGATATTGTCAAAATATGGCTAAAATATCAGGCGAAAAAGGAAGAAAAATTATATAAAAAGAGTTCTGAAACTGGCTTTGAAGAACAATATGGATAATAACAAAAATGCAATCAAAATGTTCATCGTGCTGAAATCTATCGGTCCATATAGTTTCCAAAACGATCTGTCGAAAACACCTCGATGGGCCGATTTGTGGTCAAAATGGCCCCCGTCCTGTCTAAATAGCTACACTTTATCTAGACTGACGGGTTGTTAAAAAAAGCATATTAATATTAAAAGAATATTGAGAGAAAAATAAAATTCTACTTACCGAATGATACAGAAAACGTTTGTTGTGTAATATGAGTCGGCAATCGATTATAGTATTTATAGTTGACAGCAATTTTTCTTTTTTTTTCGACATAAATTACCTGAATCAACAAAGTGTGACTATTTTTTATTTGGCAGCCTCACTTTTTCTCATTAATACGTGTCGTCTTATGTGTAATATGGGCTGAGGTATGCTTTCATCAAGCATTGTTATGGGTTTTCCCCTTGAAAACAAGCCAAACGCTCATAACAATGCTTGACGAAAGCATACCTCAGCCCATATTAAACATAAGACGACAAGTAGTAATGAGAAAAAGGAGGCCAGCAAATAAAAAATAGTCACCCTTTGTTGATTCAGGTAATTTATGTTGGAAAGAAAAAGATGAAAACAAATGGTAAAATACCCATCGTTCCCCTTGAAAACAAGCCAAACGGTGGGTATTTTACAACATCTTTTCATCAACTGAAAAAGAGCGAAAGAGGTAGACTGTACCCATAAATTGCTTCTAAACTGCACCGCTGTTAGGGGTACGCCCATGTAAAAAAAAGCGTGAATAATCAGATTATAATCGATTAATTTTTGATTTTTAATCGATTATAATCATACACATTTTCATCGATTATTAATCGATTCCAAATCCTTTAATAATCAGAAGAAATCGATTATAATCAGAAAAGCATTCAAACACAACGGTTAACCGATTAAAACTGGTTAAATTTGATTATAATCAATTCCGAATCGATTAATAATCGATGAAAAGGTGTATGATTCTAATCGATTAATAATAGATTAGGAATCGATTCAGAACTAGTTACGAACCGATTAAAATCAGCTACAGCTGATTAAAATTAATCGTACACTTTCATGAACAACGCTTCTATAATATCCACTGCATTCCATTAATTCATGAAGAAATACAGTACTCTCATGAATAAAAAGAAATAAGTACAACCCGAATTCAAAAAAAAGTAACTGAATTTCTTCACATTTCTTCTTAGTAAAGGAAAACCAATTAAATAATAATACTTACAACACGACGAATTTTTCGTAGTTCTTCATACTAAACGAAAAAAATTATTACATAATAATACTTACAGCAGGACGAATTTTTCGTATTTCTTCATACTAAACGAAAACCAATTAAATAATAATACTTGATGGAAAGCAAAGTTTTATTGGAATTATTTTTAAAAGAATAAAATTTCTTATAGGAAAGCAGTATACGAAATCAACTGGCAAGGCACTTTTTTTCTCACTCCCTCTACTGAAAGGAGGTTTTATGTTGATTCGAAGTTTTTAAAGCTTTATGTGGTTGTCTCCTACTAAGTTGTTATATAAAACTGTTCCCTGTGAGCTGAAATATGATGATTAGAGAGAATGAAATGTTTCTTTAACTATATTAGAGTCATTTCCATCGAAGTAAAGTCTATTTGACTATTATTCACTATCGCCATCTATGATGTTGGTCTAGTTTGCAATTTCGCCCTATTCGATTATTCGTCCATTACGCATGTCCAAATAGTCAGATGTGATGCTACGCATTACGAACTGATTGAATATTGTTACTATCGATTATACGTATAAGTATCCTGCTTTGTTTTTGGTTTCTTTCATGGTGTTAGTGAAAGTGAATTGTGTACATTGCTCAGACTACTGTGAAGTTTTATTTTGTACTTAAGTTTTATTTCCTTGGCTAGAATATTATTGTTGGACTATTTTAGATGTTCTTCTACTGATAAAATTTTTTTTAAACTTTTTTCCAGATAGATTTATTGTTCTTAACGCTAACTTTGTGTGATCAACGAATATGGTTAAATGTGTTAAGAAGACAACGGCACCTGTAAATACGAAGAAAGCAAATGAAAAAGAAAATTTTTTGAGGTTTATATTCTTCTTCGTGATATTGCCACGAATGTGCACCATGTTATAATTAGAAGTAAAGTAATTTCATCAAAAAAAATTCAGAAGCTCGAACCTGGTGATGAAGTTAGCTTTGGTCAACGAGGTGGCCGTATTCGTGGTATTGTTCTTAT